CTGAGATGGCGAGAAGGACAAAAAGTTATTGGAGAATGGATTCAAAGGCTCATCTCACATAGTCTTCATTTTGTAGGGAAGTAGGAGGTAAGAGCCCCTGTTAAAAGAGAAGAAAGTACAGGTACTAAGGGGCAACCAGAGGGAACCAAAGGACAGGAAAGTCTTAAAACAACTGAGAGCAGTAAACTACACATGTGACAGACACCTGACACAAAGTAGGCACTCAGTGGATGTTTGAATGAATTTGCAAGCAGCAATTTTGCCCCTTTCCTATTTTCCCATTTCTGTCCCTCTAACCTTAAAAGAACCTAATCACAGGAATGAGATCACCAAGCAATTGAAACTAACTCCTGACTTATGCTCTCTTGAATGCACACAATGCTTTGCCTAACCTGTTGATTCTTTTCCTAGATAAAAAGAAGTGGGTTCAATCCCCAGTACCTCCATTAAAATAAGTAAATAGATAGATAGACAGATAGATAGATACATAGATAGATACATAGATGATACATAGATACATAGATATTTTTTTCAAAAAACCTAATTACCTTCCCCCTGCAAAAAAAAGAAATAAGAATGAAGATTTAAGCAGTTAAAGAATGATTAGCTCTCTGCCCTCAACAGCTCCCTTAGCAATTCTGCAGGCAGATTACATGGGCAAGACAGCATCTGAAGAGACAGTCAGCCAGCCTGCAGGCAGTGGACAATGATGCAGAGTCCAACCTTGTGCCTTGATAATTCACTGAGATTCTCCCCCCAACCCCTTTTCCCTTTAAAAACTGTCAGGGCTAAGCAGAATCTTTGGAGTTGGTCTCTGGACACAAGTCCATTTTCTCCCCAGATTGCTGGCTTTTCTGATTAAAGCACTTTTTCTTCCCATTGACACTTGCCTCTCAAATATTGGCTTTTGAGCAGCGAGCAGCCAAACCTGAGTTCAGTAACAAATTGATAAGACATGAAAATAAATTGTCAAATAATAGAGCCCCAGTTCATTAGATAATAAAAATTTCTCATATTTTTGTAACTTTCTACAGTATGACTATAGTACTGGAAGTAAACTGGAAGAACCGAAAAGATAAAAAAGGAAGGATAAGTCACTGTTGTCGATGTGACCTGGGGGCTTTCCCCAAAGTTCTTAGAGAAAAAGTAGGAGCTCCAGAGTACATAGGCTTTGGTTTGTCACAATAGTCCCAATATTGGACAGACTCGGAAATACAGGTTGGGTAAAAAGTTAACTATACCCAAAAAAAATCTTGGTATGGGCTTCATTTATCAATGCTTTATCATAAAGTTATCATTATATCTTCAAGTGTGTGATTTTTCTTAATTTTGCTACCTCTTCTTTGTGAGTATATGTAGACCATTGTTAACCATCTGCTCTTGGCTCTCCACACTACCCATCCAGAGAATTCAAGTAGTCTTACAGCTTCCAACATCGTATCAGTACTGACAATGACAAATATTTTCAGTTTCTTATCTCTCCCACAAACTCCAGTGCCATTTTTCCACCTACATACAAGATATCTCTACATGGATATCCCACTGTCATTGCAAATTCAGATCTCCAAAACTAAACCTGACACCTTCCCCAAAATCCAGCTCCCCTTCTGTAACAGAATCCAGTCAGGAGACAGAAACCACACCAGTTATTTGCACAGAGAGAATTGAATGTAAAGAACTGTTAAGTTAGGTCTAAAGTTGTTAACTGTGTAACAAAAAAACGCAAAAAGAGAACTTCAAAGTACAGGAGAAGTTGCAACTGCAGAAAGCAGCTACCACCCCCACGGCTTGAGGGAACAAAGGGAAGAGACCGGGGCTAGAAGAACGTTGAAGCTTAGAGAGGAGACTCCTCAGAACTGAATTCAGTTATCTGAGAAGGGAGCACCCGGCAATTGGTACTGGTGTCTCTGAGGGGGTGTGATAAGACTGGTTCCGCAAGTGCTGGGGGAAATTGTAAACCGGATTCAGTGACTGCTAAGAGAAGCACTGCTGAGGTGAAGCAGTGCATCTGGGATGCTGCTCCCGGGAAATGCAATGAGATAGGAAGCCCACAGGGAACAAACAAGAAGCAAGTTCCCTTCCCCTCCTCCAGGCTTCATCTCCCTCTAGCACCTTTTATTGGCAGAGTTGAAAGGGGAGCTAGCAGGTGACGCAGTAATGCAGTTTGTAGATTTCTGGCTCCAACATCACAAAGAGGTCAGGTTTGGAGCTGAGGCAATTAGTTAGGGTCCAGCCAGGAAAGAGAAACCACTCAGAGTATGCCAGAGAAATTTTACCTCAAGGAATTGGTACATGGGGAAATAGAAGTCAACATGGAACAGTGAAGCAATCTAGAAATTGGCAACAGCAGGCAACTTTTATCACACCCTAGGCTGGAGGGACAATGGGAGTTGCTGGTGTTACTAGAGCCCAGAATCTAAGGGCATCCAGAGAGCACCAGAATCATGACAAGCTCTTCATGAAGGGAGCTAGGATCATCGAGAGACAGGCTGTCTGGCCAAGGAGAAGGAGCTGCACCTGCTAGGAATAATGCAGAAAGCAGAGAACGGAGGAGAAAGCACCCTAGATTCTCTCTTCTCTCTTTCTACACTCTTCATCTAGTGACTCATTGCCAGATTTATCCAGAAGCCAGAAGACAAGGAAATGTAGTTCCATGTGATGCAAGACAAGAGAAGGTAAGAGCAGAGAAGGATTTGGAAGCAACCAAGAAAGTGACCAGCACACTAATTTATCCAGTTATGTCAGGGGCACATTTTCCTGACTTTCCTGCTCAGAATCCCCAGTATTTTCAGTTTTTTCAACTTCAAGTCCCACACCCACTGATCTCCATTTTCTCTTAAAACGTCTCTAATATCTGTCCCTTCCCATCACATTGGCCCAGCTTAATTCAGACCCACCTCACTGTCCATTTGAATTATTATAATTTTCTCCTCTTAACTGGTCTTGGACCACCAATTTCCTTCTGCTACTGTCTATGTCTATTCTAAGGGTCAGCAAATTGTGGCCAATGGGCTGTATCCAGCCATCACCTATTTTGTGCATAAAGTTTTATTGGACCACCACCAAACCCCTTTGTTCACATACCATTTGTGGCTGCTTTCACACAGCAATGAGAGTTCAACAGTTGTCACAGAGACCATGTGGTCCACAAAGCCTAAAATATTTTCTTTCCAGCCCTTTGCAGATAACGTTTGCTGACCCCTGGGATGGAATAGAGTTTGCTTCATTCTGTTATTAAACTTCCTAAAATCCCCTCTCTTGTGTCATTTTCCTGCCTTCAAATTATTTTTCTTGTCTACATAATAAAACCAAAAGTCCACAGCTTCTCAGGATTCAATGTTTCCCCAAACCTGATGCCAAATGTACTCAATGTTTAAATCAATGATTTAGTGAGATGATGAATATAGCTTAGCACGATGCTCAGCACATAGCAAACAATCACTAATACAGGCATCACTCTTGTTACTTCAGCTCTCCTCCTACCGTTACCCACCATGTATCATTTTGCTCACACTTGCCCCATTTTTTGTTTCTGATATTTTCAATAATATACCAATCACTTTTTAAAACAGTGCTATAAACTGAATTGTATCTCCCCAAAATTCATATATTGAAATTCTTACTCCCAATACCTTAGAGTATAACTGTATTTAGAGATAAGATCTTCCATGAAGTTAAAATGAGACCTTTAGGATGAGCCCTAATCCAATGTGACCAGTGTCCTTATAAGAGAGGAAATTTGGACACAACGGGGTGATCCCAGAAACATGTTCAGACAAAGGGGCAACCATGTAGACACAGAAGGAAGATGGCTGTCTGCAAGCCAAGGAGAAAGGCCCCAGAGGGAAGCAAACCTGCTGACACTTTGAGCTTGGACTTCTAGCCTCCAAAATTATGAGAAAATTAATTTCTGTTGTTTAAGTCACCTAGCCTGTGGTAATAATGTTATGGCAGCCTTAACAAACTAACACAAATAGTATCTAGGAATATAAATGAAATATAAAATCAATGTAAGAAATGTTAAAATTATAGAAGAATATAAAAATGGAAATGAAACATCACCCATAATTTCACCACCTTGAGATTATCATAATAAAATGTTTGGTATGTTTTCTTCCAGGGTTTTTCCCTAAGATACATAATTTATTTTTTATTTTCATAAAATTAACATCACAATGTACTTATAGTTTTATATCCTAGTTCTTTTACATAATTATAAACTTTTTTTACTAAATCATGAACATTTTTCCATTGGGTAGAATTATTACAGTTCAAATGCACATACACATTATGTTGCATGTAAATACATATATACAGTATATTTCACTTTTTTTAGTTTACATGTAGGTACTGATCAGTTTCTAAGAGCAGATTAGAGCTTTAGCTTTTTAAACTTACATAGTTATCAAAGGAATAAAGCCAACTACAAAATAAGAATCAACAGAATGTGGTAATCCAGTCATAAAGAAGTCAAATGTGCTTATGAATATTCAAGAAATCAATTATCTTAGTTATAATAAGTAGTTCATTTTTGTCCTTATTATTATTG